CAATATGTGTGGTGCGAGCATGATTAACCGGATTTGCAGCTAGGTATGTAGCAAAAACATTATCACACAAGATGACCGGGCGATGTGAGAGCTTGACATGAAGTTCAGACAGAAGATTCTCCAACCAGACAGATTCGGCCAACGCAGAGGCAACAGCACGATACTCAGACTCAGCAGAAGATCGAGACACAGTGGATTGTTTCTTGGAAGACCAGGAAACTAGTGAGGAACCCAGAAAAACACAAAAACCAGTCGTAGAGCAGCGAGTAGTAGGGCATCCAGCCCAATCAGCATCGGAATATGTAACATGGCGATCAAGAGGGCCAGCACGGAGATGGGTACCATAGTGAAATGTGCCCTTAATGTACGGAGAATGTGTTTGACCGCCTGAAAGTGCTGCTCACGAGGATCATGCATATGTTGACAGACAAGATTAACCGCATACTGAATATCCGGTCTGGTGAAAGTAAGATACTGTAATGCACCAACCAAGCTCTGATAGACAGTCGGCTTGTGAAAAGGCGGAGACTGATCAACCGAAAATTGAAAAGCCGGAGCAAGTAGAGTTGCAACTGGATTGGCATCGGTGAGATGACTGCGAGCAAGCAACTCCTCAGCATACTTGTGTTGGTGTAAAAACCAACCACCAGAGTGAGGAGCAACAGAAATACTAAGGAAATAGCTGATTGGACCAAGATCCGTCATTGCAAAAGCTCCTTTCAGCGACTGAATAATAGTAGTGAGGAGATGATTGCTGGAAGCTGTCAAGAGAATGTCATCAACATAAAGTAACAAAACAGCCGTATCCGATCTAGAAGAATACACAAACATGGAAGTGTCCAAGCGGCTGCCTTTAAAACCTTATGTAAGCAGAAAAGCAGTGAAACGATGAAACCAAGCTCTGGGAGCTTGCTTTAAGCTATAAAGAGCTTTGTTCAACCGACAGACATAGTGAGGATGGTCTAGATGAACAAAACTAGTAGGCTGTTTCATATAGACAATTTCATTAAGACGACCATGCAAAAACACATTTTTAACGTCCAACTGATGAACGGGCCATTTTCGAGAAGCAGCAATGCTTAAGACAGTCCGAATTGTCACAGGTTTAACCACCGGACTAAACGTTTGCTCATAATCAAGTCCAGACTGTTGATTGTAGCTTTGAGCGACCAAACATGCCTTACATCGATCAAAAGAGCCATCAAATTTTAACTTGACTTGAAAAATCCATTTGGAGCCGATAATATTGGCAGAAACTGGGGGAGGGACTAAATCCCATGTATGATTAGTGAGGAGACCATTAAATTTGTCATTCATAGCGGTACGCCATTCAGGGTATTTGTTTGCTTCAGTAAAGGATTTTGGTTCAGTAGGGAGTGAGGAGGATGTAGTAGTGGCAGTAAGAGAGAGTATTTATTTAGGTTTACGAGTATCATCACGAGTTCTAGTGACCATATGATGAATAGGGGGATTCGAAATAGGAGGATCCGAAGTATGTGACAAGGAAATGGAAGGCGTGGGTGCAGATACTAAAGGAATGGATGACACATGTTTTTGGGAAGGAGAAGCAACCAATGGAGAGGATTTTGATGAAGGGAGGGATTGTGAAATAAGGAACGAGGGATATTTAAAATGAGATTGAGGAGGATTGTTTTGGGGAACAGAAGAGAGGTGAGGAAATGGAAAAGAGGTTTCATTAAAAACAACATGACGGGAAGTATAGACTTTCTTAGAAGCGGGATCAAAACAACGATAGCCCTTATAAGATTCAGGATAACCAAGAAAGACACATGGAGCAGAGCGAGGGTGGAGCTTATGAGAAGCTAAATGAGAAAGATTGGAAAACAAGAACACCCAAAAACCCTTAAGGAACCATAGTTAGGGGGTTGACCAAAAAGAAAGGAGAAAGGAATAGCCCCATTTTTTGATTTAGTAGGTAAACGATTTAACAGATAGACACAAGTATGTAAAGCCTCTACCCAGAATGCATGTGGTAAGTGAGCTTGATGCAGAAGAGTGCGGATCACATTGATTAGTGTTTTATTCATGCGCTCAGCCTTGCCGTTTTGTTGAGGAGTGTACGGACAAGAGATACTCATTGTGATCCCCTTAGATTTAAGAAAAGATTGAAGATAATGAGAATGAACATATTCAGCTGCACCGTCAGATTGAAGAGTTTTGATGGAAGTATTGAATTTAGTTTGAACAAGAGTATAAAAGTCAACAAACTTTTGAGGAACCTCGGATTTATTTTTAAGAGGATACACCCATAAATAATGAGTAAAATCATCAAGAAAGAGTACAAAATACTTGAAGCCACTAAAGGAATGACACGGAGAGGTCCAAACATCTGTATGTATAATATCAAAAGCACTAAAAGTAACCGAAGAAGAAGGCATAAAAGGGAGCTTATGATGCTTCCCAATTTGACAAGCCTGACAAAGACTAAGTTTATTTGAAGAGATCACAGAACCAGGAAGACTTTGACTGGACACTAAACTGGACAAAACGGAGGCATTCGGGTGACCAAGGCGTTGATGCCATAATTGAGAAGAGACGGAAGCAGCAAACACCGGACAAGACGGAGAAGACGGTGCAAGGGATGGATGGAGCAGTGAGGGCGGAAATGTATAAAGGGAACCAGCACTATTGCAACGTAGATGAGGGGTCCTCGTCCAAAGATCCTTCACAAAAAAACCAAAAGGGTCAAACTCAACAGAGCATTGATTTTCAGTCAAAAATTGATGCACAGAGGTTAGATTTTTTGTAAGCGAAGGAACATGGTAAACATTAGGGAAACGAGACTAAGAACAAGAGAGTTGACCAACGGATTGAATAGGTAAAGAATGACCATTACCAATAATGACTCGAGTAGAACCTGTATAAGGTTTTGAATTAGTGAGAGTACTTTGAGAAGGAGTCATAGTGTTACCACAAGCAGTATCCATATACCAGGAGGAATCAGCAGATGGGGGAATAGAAGGCCGATTATTGTGACCCACAAAGTAAGCAGGCTTTGAAATTGATAGCAATCCCGAGCAGAGTGATTGAATTGATTGCACAATTGGCAACGAACAGCAGCGGGATTAGACTGAAAAGAGAGAGCCAGACCAAGAAGAGAGGGAGCACGTTGCCTGAGAGTAAACATAGGAGCTGTATATGAATTAAAAGGTGCAGAAAACGAGGAAGGATACTGACCAAAAAATTGGTTGCGTCCACGCCCACAGCCACGTCCCCGATTATTTTGAAAACTTCGACCCCTGCGATGGCCACGATTGGAAGACGGCTGCTGGTGAGAAGGGGTATTGGACTACTGCTGTGGAAGTTCAGTTGAAGATGCTGCGACCAGAACGGTGGTAGCTGTGGAGAGGGGAGAAGGAGCAGTGTGCTGAAGTTGCACTTCATGCAGGAAGAGCATTGATCAAGCTTCAACAAAGTTGGGTAAAGGAACGCGATGGCTAATAGTAGTAGAGATAGACTGGTAGGCGGAAGGAAGACCCGCCAGAATTTGAAGCACCAAGTCATCGTTGGAGATGGGAGAACCGACGGCTGTTAATGAATCGGCCAACATCTTAAGCTTGGTAACATACTCATTAACGGTTAAGTCCCCTTTCTTTAAGTTATGAAACTCCAATTTCAATTGGAGAAGGCGGGAACCAAGCTGATCGTGAAAGATTTTCTCAATGGTGAGCCACGCATCGTGGGCGGTAAGGGAAGAATTGGGCCAAACTATGGCTTACAAAATTTTAGTGGAAACAGTGGCTTGGATCCAGGAGAGGACAATGGACTCAATTTGGGTCCAAGTTCGAAAAGCGGTATTTGGAGTGGATGAGGAAGTGCCATCAGAGGCAGCGAGAGTTGATGGAGGACAAGGATCGGAGCCATCAATATGACCAATCATGGCATGGCTGTGAAAGACAGGAAGAACAAGCTCTTTCCATAGCATGAAGTTTGTGAAATCCAGAACGAGAGTCACATAATTCTTGATGTTAGAGAGACCAATAGCCGGATGAGAAGGTGGTGTCGGAAAAGAATTGGTTGTCATAGCTTTGGTTGATTGAAGATCAGTTTGCTGTGAGACAGCAGTGGTTACGGCAGAGTTCATCATGGCGGCAGGGAGGCAAAACAAAAGAAGAACACCAAAGAGAAGGGTTTCTTTTTTTTTTGAAAGAACCGGAAACAGGTGTGAGTTGGCGGCCAACTGATGATGATGATGATGAATAGTGGCGGAAGAAGAAAGATTGAAAAAATGGCGGCCAACTGATGATGATGATGATGATGGTGGCTTGTGTGTGTTATGAGTTGGCTGCAAAAGCAACCGGCCGATCAACCGGAAACAGCTTGGTAACCGGAAAAACAACCGGAAACAGCTGCAGGAGCAACTAGACGAGCAAGGTCTGATCAAGCAGCAATAGATGGAAGCAGCAATCGATCAAGGTCTGATGAAACTGCTGCAGGGGAAGAATGAAACTGCAGGAGAAGAACGAAACGCCGGGTTCGAACAGGGGATGAAGAACAAGGGATTTGTGAATTTGTGATTTTGGGAACGAAACAGGGAACGAAACTCGCCGAACAGAGGAACGAAATGGCGAGTTGATTTTGGGAATTTGTGATTTTGGGAGGTGGGGCTTTCGGCGGTTTTGCAGGAGAAGAACAGGGGATGCCGGCAAGGGAGAAAAAGAAAGCTGACGGCGGAAGCCCTAAAAGTTTGATAGGCCAGGAAAGAAGGATGATGCCGTGAAAGAATTATTGTGTGTGTTATTCACATGATATATTGTGGTATTTATAGTATAATAGTGTAACAACCCTAGCCGTCTACATAGGAAACCCTAATTAGGGTTTTGATTATTTCCATATTCTATCACACACTAGAGCTGAGCTACAGCCATTTACTGGAGCATTTAAGGCCCTGCCTTCTCTACTTGGCGACATTTCCAGAAGATAAAGAGGTTTCTGTCAAGAGGTTATTTCAACTATGGATAGCTGAAGGATTGGTTCAGAAAGATGAGACGGAACATTTTGAAGATGTTGCTGAAGAATACTTGAAACATTTGGTTGGTAGAAGTTTAATTTCAGTTGCCAAACAAAAGTCCACCGGTGGAGTGAAAGCCTGCCGCATCCATGACTTGCTTCATGAATTTTGCTTGCATAAAGCCAAAGATGGATGGTTTTTCTCTATTCTACCAGACATGGATAAGGTTTTGGAATTTCATGCGCCAGACTGCCTTTGGAGGTTATGCATTAACTCTGATCCGAAACACCTCAGAATGTCCATACATCCTTACAATCTGTATGTTCTCTAAATTTCAACTATTATGTACAACGGGTGCTGCCAAATTTAACCTTCATGTTTCACATGTGCAAACTTCTCAAAGTTTTGGATTTGGAGCAACTCAATTTAGGTCTTGTATTTCCGAGTGAAATAGGACTGCTAGTGCAGTTGTCCTTCCTGGCAATTCGAGGCTGTATGCCGGACATCCCATTATCAATAGGTAACCTCTCTAATCTGGAAACATTTATTCTAAATCATTTAGCAGAGAACAAGACTGTTTCATTGCCAGATAGTTTTTGGAATCTCCAGAAGTTGAGGTATTTTTACATGACTTGTCAAGTTGGTGTTTTCCCCATGGAGAATAGTGCCAACTCATCGGATTTATGTGAGTTGGATTGGCTTTCTGGTATAGCTATTCCTTGTCATCCACATGACATGGAACAGTTACTACTGAAGTTTCCAAACATCCGGAAGTTAAAATGCACCCTTTTAAAATCTCCAAAAATGCTAATAAATCATGTCAAGATTGTAGTCCCGCAGATTTTGTGCCAGCTAGAATCACTTAGTATATCTCTGTCCTATGATGGAGTAACTCACAGTGAGTTTAGTTTGCCTGCAAATCTCAAGAAACTCACGCTGTCAAACTTTCCGTTGTCTAGTAGCAGTCTATCAACCATTTCTAGATTGTCAAATCTAGAAGTCCTCAAATTTGAAGATGTGCACTTCAAAGGAAACACATGGGAAATGGAAGAAGCAGAATTTTCCAAGCTTAGAATCTTGCAATTGACATCCTGGTGTCTATTGTCGTGGACTGCTTCTGACGATCAGTTTGACCTTCTTGAGAAGCTGGTGTTGGTGAGATGTGGAAGTTTGAAAGAGGTGCCTTCTTATCTAGACTATATTCCAACGGTTGAAGTGATCGAGCACAGGTATTGTTCGAAGAAAGTAATGGAATTAGTAGGAAACATTAAGGAAGCACAAGAGAACTACGGAAATTCAGAGCTGAAGATCATTAATGTCAAATCAGGCTGATTTTGTTGCATCTATTTAGGCTGGATGTTGAACAAGTGATGATGGTGACCGTGGTTCCTTACTGGTACTCTTTCAGTATCAATCATTGAATGCTTTCTTTTCTTTTTTTTTCCTTGTACTCTTTGGAGTCATTAGTTTTGATGTATTCAGAGGAAAGGCAGCTTGTTTTTCCAGAAGTAATCTACAGTGCTATACCTGTCAATGGATGTTACATCTAGACTCATGGGTTGCAATAACAGAAGGCTTTTTCAGTTGGTATCTGTTCACTATTAATTGTTTCCTTGTGGATTAAAACATTAGAATCTCGATATACTTGGATGCTATAATGAGTGATTTTGTTGTCTCATTGCTTCACGTATGTATGACAGTTCCATGCTCTTTTTTTCAATGTAAAAGGAGGCTTATATTCATGACTTGTTCCTAGGTTGGAAGGTTATTTTTTTTATACGTCTCTCAAGCATTATTTTCTGACTAATAAATTATTTTAATTTTTTCCCCCTCAGATCATCCCTCGTGGACTATCCCAATGACCATTTTCAGTACTAATGATATTCGAAGATATAGTTCCTTTGATGGATTTGATTATTGCTGCTGCTAATTGCTCCAATCAATCAAGAATCTCTTTCCTGCAGGTTTGGATATTGGTAAGTGTAAGTCAGATTATTGTTGCTTCAAACCTAGTTTGGAAGTAAACACTACATATCAATACAAGGGTTGCAAAATAACATGCCAACGGCTATCTCTCACACTTCAAGTCTGTGCAGAGAAGCAGCGGAGGTTAGTTGATAACTCGTGAAAGTATGCTTCGTCTTCTCTTAAAGGTTAATATAGTTGTAGTATTTTGACCTCTTCATCTTGTTTCGGTTTTATTCCAGAAATTATGCTATTAGTCAGGCTTCTTCTAGACCTTAAAATGTGTTCAATCTGCAATGAATCTAGTTCAACATTGAGAACTGATGTTGTTCGGTCTAATGCCAGAAGTAAATGTTCTGAAACTTTCTGCATGGACATAGTTATGAAACTGGGCGGTGGCTGTGTCCTGTCAAACCCATATGACATGATCGATCATTGTGGCTGCAGTGTCCTGTCTAGTTTTCTTATTGTTGGCTTATTTACAGTGTTGATATAGAACTTTAATTTCACAATACAAAAATATGATATGAGTTTAGTAGTTAAACTCAAAATGGTTTCATTGAGAGTCTACTTTGTGATATGCCGCCAGGATGCTGCTGCAGCGCTTGCTGTGTGCCTGAATCTGGATTTTTTCATTGAGTTGTGAGCAAATCGTTATTTATGCTTCAAAATTCCTTTCTTGCGTTTAAGGTTCAGATACTTTTGAAAGTTCCAATTGTTAGTAGGGGCAATGTGACAATTTGCTGCGTGTTTTGTTCTTCAGATTTTTCGTATAATCTGCATTCAAAATCTTCATACCCTAGTCTGGAACCCGCCGATCGAAATTATTTGGAACAATAAGTTTGCTACAATCATCAGGCTTTGAGGCAGCAGATCACGCTCTCAATCCTACAAAAGCTACTAATCTTTTTTTTTTATCTGTGTGCTAAAGGTTTAAAAGAAAAGCTATGATGAACTGATTTAAATCAAATAGTGGATCAATTTGATACTTCTACATAATCTTTATTTAATTTACTCTGTTCTGTTCGGTACTGCATATTCAAGAGCTTTATCAGTTTGCAATTATTGATTTCTCTTTTGACGGGTCCAAATCCACCCCTGGATATGGGTTGGGTCAATCACCCTGTCCAAGGTCCAACTGACTATGAAGTTGGTGATTTAATATTACAAAACCTAGTAATATTCGGATACTTCTAAGACCTATAAATAGGGATGATTGCTCCACAATTGAGGTACGCTATTTTTGGCACCAATTCACATATACAGATTATTTCGCAACCCTATTTTCTGACTTAATCTTCAGAGTATCTATCCTTGGGAGGCCCCGAGGCTCTATATTACAGGAAACCCTAACCGGAGTTCCAACACCAGGCCGGAGGTGCAATTCCAGGCATCATCAAGTGTCACGCCTAGTGGGACCTGAGAATTAGGGTTTGTGTCACAAAGCTTTCCCAAGCTTTCAGAACCTTTTCGATCCGCTGCTACCACTCCAAGCTAGGGTTTTTTCAAGACACAATGGCTAAAATCGACAATCCCCAATCCAGTACCGCATCGACCGGTAAGCGTGAAAGCCGCAATGATGATGAAACCCTAGCGAGATTCCAAGAGAGACAGAAGCGGAAGAGAAACGACCGGCAGTCTCACCGCCAACCTAGCACACGGTCACCCAACGTCGAGGAGTTGTCGAGAAGGGACTGGAACTCCCCCCGGAGAGGTAACGTCCACTTTCGACTGGGACCTAAAGCCCCTCCTGAGTAATCTTATCACGACCACCGTGATACTCACCACAACTCAAGATACCTACCTTATGGTCATCAGAGGTACGACGTTCCATATCCTGAAGAACCCCACTATACTCGACAACGAGAGAACCAAGGCCGCAAAGACCCGTCCATCCGCGACTCGATGAGAAGAATGATAGGAATGATCATGGACAAGAGTCCCTTTGTCCCACGGATTCGAGACTGTTCAAAACCTCGAGACTTTGACTTTCCAAAAGACTTCGTCAACTACTCGGGAGACACTGACCCACAGCAATTTTTGCACAAGTATGTGCAGGTCATGAGAATCCGAAACGCGTCTCTCGACTTCATGGCCAAAGCTCTACCATCCTTCCTCGATGGACAAGCACAACGTTGGTTTGGACAGTTACCGGAAGGAAGTATTGATAGTTTCGAGGACTTGTCAGTGAAACTAGCCACACGCTTCTTCCCAAGCAAGCAAATTACAAAAATGTCAATTGACCTGGCATCGATCAAGCAAGGACAAAACGAGAGTCTTTCGGATTTCCATTGCCGTTTTACTCGAGAATCCCTCCAAGTAGATTACCTCGACGACAGAGATGTCCAAAAGGGATTCATCCAAGGCCTCAACCCCTGGGGAAAGCCTGTTTACCTACGAGTAAAGTTGACCACCAAACCTCCACAAAACACACAGGAGATGTGGGCCACAGTGAAAAGCTATATCCAGTGCGAACAGACACTCAAGCGATTACAGGAATCCTTCTCGCTTGCAGGAGATCGAGGGAGAAGGGACAAGTAGAAACCACCGACGGAGAATAAAGCGCCTTTGCCTAGGCTCGACAGGACCTTAACCTCGTTGTTGAACCCTCGACAAGAAATACTTCAGATTCACAAGGACGAGTTCCTCATTCCAAAACCATTAGCTCACAACCCGAATAGGTCCACAAGTTAGTACTATGAATACCACAAAGACCACAGACATGATACGGAAGATTGCAGGGAACTTGAGCGGGAAATTAAAGCACGGGTCAAATCTGAAAAGTTTCAGCAGTATGTACAAAACACACAGGGTACTTCTCGAGAAAGGGGAGGAAAGTTCGCGGTGCCCCATAATTTCCCTAGACGGAACAACAACCGCGGCCCTCGAGGAGATAATCTAGGAAACAATTGGCAGCAAAGGAATAACTCGCAGCAACCTGCTCAGCAATGCCTGGACGGAGGGCCACATCCAATTTAGCAAGTTCCTCCTCTTGATCCAACCAAACAGATCACTCACAACGTAGGAACTATCTACGGCGCATCCCTTGAGGTCTTATCCACAACAACAATGAAAGCATCACTTCGAGAAGTAACTAAGACACCACCTCAAGAACCAAGTCACAAACGGTTTAAGGGGACAGAGGCAATAGTCTTTACAGACAGTGATGTTGTCTTGGGTATCTGTCCACAAAACTATGAAATAAATTAGTGGAACATTATTTTATTTCAAATTATTCCATACAAAACTATGAAATAATAATCAACAAAACATTAAAAACAAAGTACTAGAACATTATGACAAATGATTCTTACCTGATTCTACTAGTTGAAGAACTTCCCCATGGAATGAAATTGAAACAAATACGAGACGTATGTCAAAAGTTTTAGCAGGTTTGTCCCTGGAATCCTTAAAAATTTGTCATTGAGATAAAGAATTCTAGGTAAAAAATAGACAAAATCATAAAAAACATCCCATACAGTTGGCCAAAAAATTATTTTCATGTCATACATTTTCAAAAGCACATTTTCGCTCTATTTGACTTTTTCGACTATGCGATATTTTGACTTTTTAAATTTGGACATAAATAGTTGAAAAATCAAATTTTTGGGACAAAATGGAACGAAAATGTACGTTTTAAAATATATAGGACGAAAATGATTTTTGGCTCAAATGTATGGGATGTTTTCTGGTTTAGTCTAAAAAATAAATTCCTCATGCACAAAAAGAGGAAAAAAATAAAACTTAGAAGAAACCTCTAAACTATTGGAATATTTTCAATATATTGGAATATTATTTTCAATATATTATGAAAAGTTATAAAATTTCATGATAGAAATAAAGAGACACATGCCAAATGTTCAAAGGTTGTGTCTAAGGATTCCAATGAAAAGACACAAATTAGAAGAGTTGTCTAATCATCCCAAAAACTGGAGAGACATCAACAAAGAGTTGTGTTTAATCTTAAGAGTCATTAGAACTCTATAAATATGGATCATTTGAGAGGTTTTTGCTGAAGAGAAAATTTTCCAGATACTTAGAATAGTTCTAATGACCATTCTTATCCTTGCTTTGTTAACCAAACGCTAAGTTCATAGTGTTTTGGTTTGATCTCCATTTTATCTCGTAGGAAATTCGCGTAGATAATTGCACAATATAGTGGGCGAATTTAGCCTAAAGGAAAGCAAGATTTTTCTTGTGACTTGGAGACAAATTTTTTTCATTTAGTAAGTGTTATTTTTCTTCTAGTATTTTGTGTGTTAGTGCAGCCATTGTTGTTTATTCTTTTGTAATAGAATTCCAACATTCTTTAGGCTAAATTGTGTTGTCCAATGGCAAGCACTGTGAAAGATCTAGCATCCAATATT